TATCTCTTTCTTTCCCTTTCTCACTCTCTCTCTCTCTCTCTCTCTCGTTCTCGCTCTCTCTTTCTTTCTTTCACGATCCCGTTTCTGAGAATTGAAAAGACCGGATTCACCCGCGCCTGAGGGCTGTCATTAGGCGAGCACCGAACGATAATAAGTGTCCTACGTCGACGCGCCTCGTGTGTTCTGTCACTCTCGTCATCAAACTCGTTGATAACAAAGAGACGGCCTTTGGAGGATGGTAATTCGGGCTCGTGTTTCTCACCTACAGTAGACCAGGCCGTCCCTCTGCCCGAAATGGTCGCCCTTGTTCAGCGGGGTGCCACAGGAAGCGCATGTGAAACAGGCCACGTGGTATACCAGGTCCCTCGCGCGCATCACCAGCTCCGACGCGGAGATGCCCGCTCGACATCGGGAACATCTCGATACGGCGAATAACCTGTGCGCAGAAATTATGCTGGAAGCCATTGATCAACATTTTTCGAGGCCTTTTCTCTGTCACTGCGGGGAAAATTTAATTGTAAAGTGGTTTTGTTCATTGGTAAAGTGTGAAGTGCAGGGAATGTATACTCTGCCTAAGCAATACATGTAGGGTGGACCACCTCAATTATTTTCGTTATTGGTGGACCAATCAAAATCTTTTTCGTCACAGATGATACGATTTCGAAGGACCTTCAAGGTGATGACCTCAGATTTCTTCTGTCTCTTTCTGAAATATGCTTTCAAAGCCACGTTCAATTTTTTTTACCTATAACCGTGTAGGTTTTTTTTATTTCGCCTATCAGCTAGCAGGCATTGAGACGAATTCAACAAGCACAATATAATACATTTTTTTGTATATAAAAATTATACATGAGAGGATTAAACGTGACCTTGAAAACTTATTTAAAAAAAGGACATAGAAATCCTTTGAAACCGTATTCTCTGTAACCAAAAAAATTTGGAGCATATTATCGAGATATCTTTGGCAATGTTTAATCTGTAATGATTTAAAGATGTTGTTTCATACTTTGCTTAGACAGAGTATACATTGCCTGAATTTTACACTTTGCTGGTAACAGTTACACGTGGTCTAGGGACAATTACAAATTTCACTAGAATATTGCAACGAAGATAAAAATACACCTTAACTCTGGAATGTTGCTCACATACTCTGGGTGTAGATTCACACACACTTGAAGAGTAAAAGCATTACAGACTGCTAGGTGAAAATATATTTATTTAAAGATATAGAATTTAATGGTAAATATTTGAATTACAGCCTGGGTGAGAATTCACCTAGAGTAGAATTCCAGTGTTAAAATATTTTAATCAGTTGTAGAAAAATATGGATAAGGTTGAATTTTTGACAATTTAAATTCACATATTTTGCATAAGCATAGAATCGAGGAGTCCAATTCTTTTTGATTTTATAAAAGTTTCATCGATGTTACTGCATGCAATATAGTATTCTCTACGATGAATGTGCATTGACATGATACAGAGATGTACAACTTTTTGAATAGATGCGTAATTCTTCAGAGATGTAATCTTTTAAACAAACATGTAATTTTCTTAATTGGTAGCTTATGTATATAACTTATAGAGAAATGTATAAAGAACTAATTCATTGATAAATCTGCAAAAATATATTGTTTAATACAGAACATACGAAGGTATAATTCTCGTTTATGTCTGTTTGAATTATCCCTTTCGATATCGTTCACACAGCAATCCCGTATTTTATTCGCTGCAACACTATCCTTATTTTATGAATATTTGTAATTTGTCGAATAACCGATGGAAAATTTAAAACGTACCATCAATCTGGTTATTTTAAACAGCTAGTTTTATACTTCACGGTACACACTTCATATTTACCCAGCTTTTGTGCCTTTTTTACAATTCTCCGCGTGTTTGCAGTCACGTTTAATACCGGGTATTATCATTATTATTGTATTATTCGTGCAAGCAACGGCTGTAATCCGGTGTAAAATACACAAATAAATGAATCAACGAATTAATCCCGGATGGGTTGATCACGGATTTTTATAATTGAACGAGTTTTATCAGGCAAAATTAATATGTCGATTGTAAAGTGCAGTAATGCATTTGTTAATACCATTTACCGTTGCACCTTTTTCCATTTCTGTCGATCGGGGATATTTCAACGCGGATTAAACGTCATCCGCAATGAAGTAGAATGATGCCTGACTATGGTCAGCCACTAGTTGACAGTGAATTAAGAACGTCTGATTATTAACACCGTGGCAGTGTACATTTTAGTACCACATTCTTGTGTCAATATTATCAATCCCAGTAGATATTGTGAAATTAATTGATAATTAACTAGTAACTTCTTTAAATTTCTTCTGAGTTAAAAATTTTTACGATACTTTTGTGGGAAGTTTTTCGGACTAACTATACTTTCGTCAGATATAATCTAAACTTGACAACCATACATGTAAACTGAAGAATCCTCCAATTAGGCACAAGTACGAATTTTTTAATTATCGTATGCAAGTTATTCTAAAATATAATTAATCGCGAACTATGCTCTACAGTTAGGTGATAATACTTCATTCACTCAAGAGTACCAAAAATTAAATCGAATTTCATGGAATATTAATTAACATCGATAGCTAAAAGCTTTCAAATGCACTCTAAAAGAATTTCACTTCTCATCATGCCAGCCTTTTTTCCACGCTTGCCAATCTCTTAAAAATCACCTTCTTCGTATTCTTCGTTACCATTAATACCATTGCATTTCCTTCTTAATTTACTCATTACGTTCGTCTCGTTAAACAAATAATTAAATAAGTAAATAGCTCTGCAAGATAAAAGATCCTCCTTGCTCTTAAATTCTCTTTAATAGATTTCAAAACCTCGTCACACAGAGTGTGACAAATTTAATTGCTCACATTACCAATACGCTCAACAATACTTTTAACCGTGTCAGTTTATTTCTCCAGCCTTAAAAATCTCTTAAAAATCACCTTGCTTATATTCCTCGTTAACCTTAATACCATTGTGTTTCCTTTTCAATTTACTCATTGTACCTTCTATCTCCCACGATTATCTCGAATTTTCTGCACCGAAGGTTTCGCCCGATGAAACAACTAACCGAACAAACAAACATCTATGCCGCTTATCTGAAATAGAAACACAACTGAACACTCACAAATAAATACGATCTGCTAAAAGATTCCTCCAGGATGAAAATCCTGCAAGATCTACAGCTCGCCCCGTACTCAGGCACGAATACAATGACTCAACTATATCGAACCGGTATCTGTCCACCCATCAACCCTCTTAATACACCGGAACAGATTCGATTCGATGCCGGTGTACGATCGTTGCCTCGCATCGTCGTTCCGGGTTCCTTCGTTCTCGATCACGCGTTCTTCGTAGAATCCCCTAATTACAAAATCAACGATCCCGATCCTCGCTCGAATTCATCGATCCCGCCTCTGTTCACCGTTCGCGCGCGCACGTGACCTCCGTTGTTCGTGACTATCGGCTCGAACCAAAATCGGAGAACAATGCCGTACTTTCCCCCCCACCTCCGCTCCCTTCTACTCGTGGTCGCGTTTTCTTTTTTCCTTCTCTTTTTTTTCCTCCACTAATACACCATAACGTCCGTCGAAGAGGGTGGAGCGGGATTTGAGGGAGGGAGGGGTCTCCACGGAAGGCTCTCATATCGGTCGTCGACGATCGAGGCGGCGTTACAGTTTTGCGAAGCGCGAAAACCAAATAGAGACAAAGGGGGTTGGCCTGGATATGGATCGTTGCATATTGCATGGGAGCCAAGCCTGTATTCTTCTCTAACGAACCGGAGCTGCAGGCCTGCAGGAACACGCCGTAGGCTGGTGTGTTCCACCCTCGCGTGGAATCTCCGATGCCTGAGGATCCGTGCGATCCCGTGGATAGAGGTTTCAAGCTGCTGTGGTTTTCGAAGGTTGCGCACGGGGAATTGTAAGATTTTCATTCGAGGAGATCCTCTTTTTGATACGGTGTTGGAGTGGACCTTTCGTGACTGAGATAAGATTACAAATGCGAGCTGGAGTTTTGTGATTTGTCAGGCAGGCCTTGGAAATTTATTGTGAATTTTCGTGTTTTTTGGAAGGGCTTTTGTGATCACACTTTAGAGTTGCGCGAGGAATTGTAGGATTTTTATTTTGGGAGATACTCTTTTTGATACGCTGTTACAGTGAATCTTTCGTGTCTTATAATAATTCTTAAAATATTTCGTGTCTTCTTAGGCAAACTTTGGAAATTTGTTGATGAATTTGGCGATGTTTTAGTATCTCTTTGGTAAGGTTTGTTGAAGAACTTTTTTACTTGTGAAAAGTTGCAAGATTCCCATGCTTTGACATGTTGCAGGAATTAATCATTTTTGCCTGAGAGTGTTGCGTCAAAGATAAGATTACACGTGTGAGTTGGATTCTTTTAACTTGTTAAGTGGGCTTTGGAAATTTGACAATAAATTTAGTGATTTTTAGTATTTCTCGATGAAGTCTTGTGAATCTTTTAGGAACAAATGTTTGAAGTTTTTATAATTATATCGTAATTTTTATTATGAAAAGTTGCACGAGGAATTGCAAGATTTTCGTTTCTCATGATTTTCGTGAGATATGTTGTAAAAGTGTTGCTAAATTATAAACGCAAATTGAATGTTTCTGACTTGTTAAGTATGTTTCGTAAATTTGTCAATGAATTTAGTAACTCTTGGGATTTTCCGTCATGGTCCATTTAATCTTCTCACAGCAAATATTATATTCTAATTCCTATAGCAAAACAAATTTCTAATATGAGATCCTTTTATGAAATTTCTACTATTTTCATCCTGTGCGTAAATAAATAAAATTTTCCAGCTGTAAAATACATTCAGCTGAAGAAAAATGTTCAGTCTACAAATTATCAATTTAATTAAATCAAATTAGCTAGAAACGTTGAACTGTTTTTCCGAATACAAAAAGAATTTTGTTTCACCGAAGCACATATCGATAAAAAATCCTAAAAAGTTCTTTTTATTATAAGAATTGTACAAAAAGAATCATTTCATAGTCTTTGTAACTCAGTTAAAATTACAGAATTACCATTTACTGATAAATATACATATCTAAAACATCCGAAATCCTTCCGAAATGATTTTCAAATTTCTTAATTAACACTTTTATATCTCATCAATACTCTAAATTGTTTTATTAACATTGTAATACTCAAACGTATCCTCTCCATCCGCGATCCCGTTTCCAGAAACCAACAAATTCTTTGACAGTCCTCTTTGCTTGCGAAATATCATTTTTCACCGGGGAAAAGCTTCACTGAGAGAGGAGCTTTCGCCCAAAGCCGCGTCGGAACGTTGCATCTGTTATTCCGACTGTCTTTGGGCCGCGACAAAGAATCGTTTCAGTTTTCTCGTTGCAACAACGAGTACACAAGCTGAAAAATGCCCCACGTCAGATCTCTGCTCCCTTTTGTTCCCTTTAATTATTTCGTTGCATCGGTGAGCCTATACGACGCTGATTAGACGATGATTACAGGATTGAAACGGGTCGAGTGTCCAAACTCCTCCTTTTCCTTTCGTTAAAAAAAGAAGGAGAAACATCCTCCGCCGCTCTTATTTCACTCGTTCGAACAAAATCTTCCACCGCCGAAAATCAACGAAGAAAAATACTTCACTTTCACGTATTCAAACAGTTCAGTCGTTTATTCAAGTTTCAAATATCTCAATTCGTCGTGCTTCTTCCGAGGCAGATTTTGCAGTTTCGCCGATTAATTCGTCGCGAAGCTTTTGAAAAGCGTCGCTCCGGTATTATTTCACGATGGATACTTTCGCGGTGAATAATTCATCGGGAATTGCATATTTAACGCTGGCCCCCCGGTCGAATCTCGTCAATTTAACAATTTCAATCCGCTTAACGCGAGACGAGAAATAGGAGAGAAGGGAAAAGGAAGGAAAGCTTCTCACGCTTTTCGAGGACTCGGGGGAATTATGCAACGCGTGCTACTCCGTCGCGTCCGCGCTGAATCTCAACGAGAGCGACTTGCCGCTTTTCATAGGTAAAAACACAATAACAGATTCTCCGCATCTAATTACCAGATCCCCACAATCGCCGGTGTGTAACGTAATTAATTTCATTCATCGGAACTTCGCATTCTAATATCTTAATCTGCGCCGCTTCGACGAGCTTGGCTCTGTGTGCTCGAACGCGTGCACACACGCGAGTAGAAAAGTTTCTAAGAGATGTACACGAGAGGAGTTCGTTTCGCGTTACAACGTCAGATTGTGTATCTCGTTGATCTGCTCGAATTAGAATAAAATTGCGTGCAATTAATATATTCTTTATATGTGACGAGAAAACGATGCTTGTAGAAGATACGGTTGGAAGAAATGGTATTCCTTGAACGTGTAATAATGAATTACGAATGAAATGTTACAAATCTTGAGAGAGATATAAAAATGAAAAGGTTCGAGTGAAACTCGCGGTGCAGAATTTCGGAAGATTGTTTCAACTTTGTTGAATGGTAAAGATTAAGTATCTGGAGGATAACGATGAGTTGAAGATGAAAGTTGCCTATAATGTTAGAAATTAATGAAAGTTCGAGGGAGTTAGAATCTCAACACTTTGTCGTGGAGTATCAGCTCGCACTCGTGGCGCAGGTTGCGTAGAATATACGACGGGGAAAGTTTAATTTTAGCTGGAAGTTTCAATTTGCAAGACCGAGGATCGTGAATTGTAAATTGTGCACAATGTTGGAACCTTCTGTGTCATTTTCTAACCTAATGCAAGTGAACTTGACGGAAAACGTGGGACCAGACTTATAAATTTATATCAATAGAATGTAACGTGTATAATTTACTGTAAATAAATTAAAGTAAAATGAATTAAAATGAACTAAATTTCAATTAAAGTAAATCTGATTTGTTTATTAAGTGATAAATATAATAGGTATAATGTGTAGGCATAGTTACAAATATAAATATATTAAATATAATAAAAAAAAAGTAATTAAAAAATGTTACAACT